CCGTCGCTCACGCTCGTCGCATACGCGAAGCAATGTACCTGCTGTCTGTTGTGATGCGAGAAGATTCCCGCGACGTTGACGCCTGCGACATACCAAAATCACCCTCCTCCTCCTTATCCTCCTGCTCCTCCTGCTCCTCCTGCTCCTCCTGCTCCTCCTGCTCCTCCTGCTGCTGCTCCTCCTCCTTATCTTCCTGCTCCTGCTCCTGCTCCTCCTCACACCTGTCGTATGATCGCCAAAGTCGGACGAGAGGTAAGCTACTCTCAACCTCCCGCCGACGTTGTCGACTCGAGCAAGAGAACCTGAGGCGAGCGGCAAAGGAGATCAGACTAGAGGAGATGCAGGAGAACAGAGCAGAAAGTAGGAGGAGGAGGAGGAGGAGGAGGAGGAGGAGACACTGACCAACAGGAGGAGGAGGAGCGAAGGAGAGTAGCGGAGAGATCTTCTCTGCCTTGTCAAGTATGTTTCTTGCGTATACACTGATTGACATACAGGTCTGCGAACCGTCAATGGCGGATAGAAATGTAGCGCAGAAGGAGAAGAGGAAGAGTAAGGAAGAAGAATGAGCAGGAAGAAATCCAGGAGGAGGAGGAGGAGGAGGAGGAGGAGGAGGAGCTGGAGGTGAGCAGAAGCAGAGGTAGAGGTCAGCAAGAACTTGTCAAGGATAATAGGAAGGTGCTGATGGGAGGAGGAAGAGAGGGGCCGAGAAGGAGGCGAGGAGGAGGAGAAACTGGTGGTGGTGACGAGAACCAGCGGCATGGGGGAAGGAGGGAGAGGAGCGACGAGGGAGGGGAGGAAAGAGGTTCACCTCCTCTATGGAGAAAGGGAACGTGACAGCCTGCCGTCAAGCATTAAAACAGCAGCAGCAGGGCGGTACCGGAGGGATGTGAAGACTTTCCTGGTAGGGGGAGATGATAGGAACCGATTCCTCCGTCCCATCACTAACTGTTTTGGAGTTTGCTCTGGAGAGAACAAGAAATCTTAGTCCTGTTTCTCTCCCCTTCTTTCCCTTCCTCCTCCTCCTCTCTCTCTCTCTC